TCGCCGTCTTCAATCCACTCACCAGATCCTCCAGATCTGTTAAATTCCCGTTTTACCCTTTCCACTTCGAGCTTCTCTCCCTTATCTCCTCCCCTGACGGTTACCGGATCTTTACCCTCTGCTCCTCCGCTGTCTCCAGATGCGTTTGTCTCTACGACTCCGTTGATCGCTCATGGAGAAGATTCGGCGGCGTCGATCAGGTCTTACCTCGTGGGTTTAATCAAGACGGTGTCTTTTACAATGGGTCTCTGTATTTCGCTAGATCCGAGCCGTTTATGATCGTCAGCGTCGATCTTAGCGACGGGAAATGGACCACAGCCACCGGAGACGGTGTATTTCCGGCGGAAGATGAGATCACGTTTGCCAGATTAGTGACTGACTCCGAGAAGAAGACATTGTACATGGTGGGAGGAATTGGAAGCAACGGTATATGCAGAAGCATCAAGATCTGGGAATTCAAAGAAGAAACAGAGAGCTGGGTCGAGGCAGAAACTCTGCCGGACATTGTTTGCCGGAAGTTTACTTCGGTGTGTTACCATAATTACGAGCACGTATACTGTCTTTGGCACAAGGAGATGATATGTGTCTGTTGCTACAATTGGCCTGAGATTCTCTTCTTCCATGTCGGGAGAAGGACATGGCATTGGATTCCAAAGTGTCCTTCCTTGCCGGAAAAATGGAGCTGTGGCTTTCGCTGGTTCTCTTTTGTCCCGAGTTTGTGTGCTTCTGTTTAGTCTTTGTCACGGTATTTGTTATTATTGTCTGTGTTCAAACCTCTGGTTTCGTACGTTAGGTCTCGATAATTTTTGGCATTGTTTGTTTATATATAATCAAATATCAGTGTGTCTTCTTTTGAATAACAAAAGCACTTCTAACTAAATAATTAGCACATATTAAAAACCTATATTGATTTGTTATAGCTTTCACTTTTACATTACTTCTTCAAGACTTAAAATAGTCTAGAACCATTAAACGCTCTAGACGCTAGGCATCCAGTCCATGGTTTCAACCATTTTTTTCTTGAACACTAGTATTTTTAGCGTTTTAAATGAAATCACGATATATAGAATCGCTAAAATATTGGTAATTGTAAACAGCAAACCAAAATAAAAATAGAAGAAGATGGTGTCGTTCTGGCCATAGGAGAAGGACTGTGTGGACTGTTGTTAGAGCATCCACATTGGAGATATTTTGTGGGTGTCTCACAATATAAAATTATTAAAATTTGAGTAAAAGGAAGAAAGAGAGTGTTTTTTGTTGAAATAGTGTGGTGTATTGAAATATAAAATTAATAAAATTTGAGTAAAGAGAAGAGATAATGAGTATTTTTGGAGAGATTGTGTCTTGGGAAAGACATAAGAGAGAGAGAATTGGGGTGTGTTTAAATATAAAATTAATAAAAGTTGAGTAAAAGGATGAAAGAGAAGGTATAAAGTTGAGTAAAAGGATGAATGAGAAAGTATAAAGTTGAGTAAAAGGAAGAGATAGTGTGTTTTTAATATTTTTATATTGTGAGACACTGGTAAAATGTCTCCAATGTGGATGGCCTTATACGATGGTTGCGTGAGACACGCATAACATGCCGCGTAGGTAAGAGAGGAAGAATTGAGTTTGATTGACTATTAATGTATGTAGCACTATGATGTATACTATAGGCGGAAAAGGTCAAATAAATGTTAAAGTCCAAATGATGCTACACGCGGTGGGAAAGCTGTTCATAATTCGAACCTTGAATTGATATGGAAAAATAAATACGTACCGGACTCTGTTGGGTTCGTAATAAGTCACATGATAACGAGTCTTAACTTTGACCAACGTTGACATTCATTACCAAATGGAAATGACACAAAAGAAGAGGTCAAATTTCGAAAAAAATGTCGTCTCATGATGACATAACTAAGCAGTGGCGAATCTAAAATAAATTTTATCGGGATCATAGTTTAAAATAAATATATTTTTATGATTAAAAACAAATTTTTGAAATAAATGAAAATTCCATTTGATTTAACTGTATGTTTGTTAGGACTGGGAACAGATATCTGTTACCCGTCCTTTACCCGTCATTTACTCGTTACCTGGCTCGTACTCGTCTCGAAAAATAGGGTACGCGTAACATTCGATTCGGGTAAAGGATACTATAATTTTGATACCCGCGGATAAGGATCAAATAAAGGGTATCATTTTTTTCACTACCCGTCTCGTTACCCGTCTTCGAACTCGATTTTCTACCCGATCCGTAAATACACGCATTTTATATCACTAATATTTGATAAACTTATTTATAAAATAAATTGTATAATATTTAGTATATTATAAATACTCACAACGTCAAATTTTTGTGTTTTTGAATTGTCATCGATAATTTTGGAGATGATAGATTACAAGTTTTGAAGTTTGTAATATTATATTTTATGAACTATATGTTGTCTATTAAGAATTTTTTTTTCCTAATAACTCTTTCATTTATTTGATATATAAGTTGCTTAATTTTACTTATATATAAACTATATTACAATTGGGCGGGTAAGGGTAAAGGACCAGGTATCCGGTGGATCAACGAATTTTTGTCGGGTACCCATTGTATAGGATACTCGCTTTTTGCGGGTCGGGTAAGAATATTGTTTCTCTAATACCCTGTAGGATCGGGTCGGATAACAGGTAGTCCAAATTTTCAGGGTACCCGTCTTATACCCAGCCCTAATGTTTGTAATACAATATAATTTAATAAAGTGTTCTTGACAAAAAGAAAATTATTTAAAATAATAAAATGAAGTATATGGAAAACTAAATTTAAAGATATAAAAAAAGATGTAATTAATTAAGGGTGAAAACAAATAAAGAAAATTAATATTAACAAGAGAAAAAAATATGATAGAATGGGGTCAAGAAGATATTTAATCTTTGATTATGCGGGGTCAAATGGTGTTTTTTTACCATTTTTCCAACAAAACTTACGTAAATTCAATATGAAAATAGTTTATTTCAAAACATTACGGTGTCACTTGACACCCCATTATCGTTAGTGGGTTCGCCTCTGCGTAACTATTGAGGGCCCTTAATTGTAGGAGAAAATCGAAGGGGAAACTGTTCGAACTGAGGTGGAACATTATAAGATCCTCTAGCTTATCTACTAGTATATTTTATGATGATGTACACCTCATGATCAAGTTTCAAGATGTCCAAAAATAGCAAATGTCCAAAACATTCAAAACAAATATATAGCAAAAACACTAAAAATAATTCTTTAACAAAACACAACATATCATAAAACAAAGATTTGGGAACAAAGAATTTTCGCCGTGTTGTCATTTTCTTCTCATCTCATAATAGAGAAACAAAAACTCAGGAGGTGGGAAGAAAAATGCGGTGGATGTTGATGAACAACAACAATATAAGACACATCAAAGCTTTCTCGCGAAACCAAGTCGCAGAAGAAGAAGCTGCATTGATCTTCCCAAAAGATCCTCCATGGTTTAAGCCATGGATGGTTCCTGTGATGATGCTTCTTGTTTTCTCTATTACTGTTCTTATAGGCATCTGTCAACGTTGTCGTAATTGTCGGCGTGGCGAAAATTCTCCCAGCATCCATCCCATCTCCCAGACAACCTGATTTTTTCTAGGTTTCTTCTTCCTTCGGCCTTTCTATCAAATGTAAATCGTTTTTGGTGCAGTGTAATTTTTACAACTTCACCATATAATTTTTCTAACTGCATTGATCTAATTAAAGATATAGCAATTCGGAAAAAAAATTACAAAACAATGGGGAAACTTAACAGTTTAAATGGAACGAGAACAAAATTTTTGAAATGAAAAACATGTTCATTTTCAATCTCATTTGAAATTTGAAATAGGATGTAAACAAAATGATTACATAAAACCTTGTAGGCGCATACGAACAAACCACAAATGATCATTCAAAAAAAGTTATCATAACCAACTACTCTTGAGTCATCATAATTCTCAATATTGAAAAAAGAACCATAAGTTTTCACGACATATTTTTTGGGATCCACCAGACAGCTGAATTTCGTGGGAAATCTAGGGGTAGGGTTGTTCGTCAAGGAAATATCGTCAATGCTGGATTTTGGGTGAGCGAAAGTAGGCAATTCAACAACTAGGAGATAAATTTAACAAGATTCCAGATGGTGTTCGGGATCAGACTTTTTCATTTGGCTTCGTAATGCGAATGGACTTTTTTTAGACATTAACATGATTAGGAATCATGACTAAGGATGCCTCATAGCAGGACAAATAGAGCTCTTTCTCCTAAAGACTTTCGGATGGTTAGAAAGGAAGAACGTGATTGGTCGGAATGTTGAATATACAGTAGGTCAAAGTCTAGTAAAATGGTGACCGGAGGCGTAACGAGTTAAAAAAAAAAAAACACGTTTTAGATGGGTTTATATTCGTGGCCGATCAATATTTGAGGTGCGTCATTGTTTTTTCTGAAACATGCATGCTTTACTCCTCTTTCTTCTATCTTTTTTAACATTTTTACTTTCACGTGAACATCTAAGTTATCAAATCATATTTTTGTCCGCCATATAAATGTGCGATCTATAATCGCTGGACGTGTTGTTATCATTCGTATTAATCATTGTTATAGTACATCTACACTATATTAAGCTAGCGTCGTAAAAATACAAACAATTTAACTGCGAGCTACATTTCATATTCTTTTCACTTTATAATTTTTTTTTTGTATCGTTGTTGGCTAATAAATAATAACAATTTAAAGATTTTCATTTATTAAACTACTAGATTTCTCAGTGGGGAGGAGCGAACACTAAACCATGTTCAAATGATTCTGTTATACATATCACCACAAAAACATCACCTACAATATTTTGCATAAATTGGAGTTAAAATATCATACTTAAACTCAAAAATCTATTACGGAAGTATGAAAATATGAAACAAGTTAAAAGTATTCTTAATATTCTGATACTACATGAAATTATTTTGTTGACTTATTTACCGAAGATAATATTGTTATTACTTTGGTGATTCCTAAAACTAGTAGGACTATGACAAGTATCTCATAGTTCATGTAGGACTATGACAAGAAAATATGCGGACGAAGAAATTTCTATCTGATATAAATAACAATATTATCTTCCGTAACTTATTTTTTGGGTTTTGAACTACTATATTGTTCACTTACTTATAAGTTACCGAAGATGGTTTATGGTGTCATCTTTGGCAAGGACCTAATTTCAAGCATCACCAAGTGTTTGATGTTTACGATGTATGGGAAGCTAGAGAAGACGGAATCTATCTACAGCTTCTTCAGCCCGTGTTCGTGTATGGTTGGGATGTTTCTGTTAATGTATAGATTCCGGTTTATTGTATAGATTCCGGTTCAATAACTACATTAGATTAGTTGGTATAGTGAGACGGTTTTGTTGTATATAACAGATGTAAATTTTTTTACAGTTCTTTACGAGAAATAAGAAAATCATTTCCGTAGATTCTTATTCACAGATTCTATTA